AAGGACTAAACCAGACTGAACTAGAAGGACTAAACCAGGACTAAACCAGGACTGAACTAGAAGGACTAAACCAGGACTAAACAAGGACTGAACCAGAACTGAACCAGAACTGAACCAGAACTGAACCAGAAGGACTAAACCAGGACTAAACCAGGACTGAACTAGGACTAAACCAGAACTGAACTAGGACTAAACCAGGACTAAACCAGGACTGAAGCAGGACTAAAAACAGGACTGAAACAGATCTAAACCAGGACTGAGCCAGGAGGACTAAACCAGGATGGAACCTAGTCTTGGACTTGAGAGAGCGAGAGAGGAAACCCCATGGGGCACGGAGCTCTGAGCCGGTCCCTGTGGTCACCCGATGGTCTATGTGGGCGCACCTCTGGACCTGTTCCGTCACTCAGTCCTGGTTCAGTTCTGATCTAGTCCTGGCTTAGACCTGGTTTAGACCTTGTTTAGTCCTGTTTTAGTCCTGGTTCAGTCCTGGTCCCTGGTCCAGTAGTGCAGATATCATGAGCCTATGTGGGTTGTTTTCACCATCGCCAATAGCTCCAGTTTGACATTTAACTTGTAGGTTATTTTAGATTTGTTAGTTTTATATATCACATCGGGAGAAGTGGGTGGACGGCGTACCCCCACGTATACCAAGCCCACTACACCCCTGCATATATAGAAAGTTGTGATGTAACCTGGAAGTTAGGAATCATTTCTTGTGTATTTTGACAGAAGAAGAGACGTGAGGAGATGGATAAGTCTTTTCTAACACTGAGTTTAAAAGTGAGAGACAGTCTGAGCTCTGAGCCTGTCTCATTAACAGAGCGGTCCAGTCTATAATCACTGAGCCCTGGGCAGACGGATGTAATCACTAACAGCTCTGTCTCTCCTCCTCTTCACTGAAAAGTTCATCAGTTTCTATTCATGGCAAAAAAAAAAAAAGAAGTAAAATAAACACATTGATTTAAAGTAAGGGATAATCTGACATTTTCACTTTTAACTTTTCAAGAGCTTTTCAGAGTTTCAATTCAGGTAACAGTTAATGAACAGACCTGAATGCACTACTTCAGAAACACTCACAACTTTATTTTTTAAATGAGGCTTTCAGGTGATTAAGGTTTAAAAGATGTGCTAAATCTAAGAGTAGTAGTTTAGCTAATGTAATACTGGTAATACTTTTGGACAGTTGTTAATGGAAATGTCCAAATTATTCAGTTAATTGAGAATAGTGATTATCAAAACCACAGTATAATTATGAAAAAAAAAAAAAAAAAAAAGTAATAATGACCATTTCAGAAGAAGCCATTTTAATGTAATCTATAATACAAAAAAGTACACCAAAATTTGAAGTGTTTATATTACATTAAAGAAGGAATACTGTGCTTGTGTCTGCTATATAGTTATAATCTATTATGACACCCGTGGATTGTTATGTTCTAGTTTGCACATTTTAAATCATAATAATCATTGAAACAACATAACAAGAAATAAGTCCAGTGACTTCTGCTCGAGAAAAACTGCAGTGTCCAAATTGGTGCGGACATCACCTTAAACAAGAGACTCAACACCTCTGATGGATAGCTGCAGATCAAGTTTGCAAGCAGCAGATTTTTATTTTTTTTTGCATTTGCATTTGTACCAAAATGACTACGTGATGCTAAGGCTGCTAGATTATGAAAAAAGTCTTTATTGCAATAATTTTGATCAATATTGAAATCACTGAAATCAAACTATTATTTTTTTATTACACGATGCATTTATTTAGCATTTCTCTCTCTCAAATAAACTCACTTTGCTACTGATAACTTATGCAAAACTTTCAAATAAAAAAATCAGTACAGGCTACAAATATGTACCTTAGAGCAGTTTTGCGGTGTATAAAACATAAAATGACTAAAATATATTTTGAACATGAAATAAGGCACTGAAAAACACAAATATATCCAAAATAAACGATATATCCAACTGTTCTACAATCTCTATGTTTAAAAAAAAAAATATATATATACTTATTACATATGAAAAACATTCCAAAATAAACTTTGTTAAGCTTTAGGGCGCTCTCACAAAACCGTGCCCTGTTCAAGCACGATTGATGTGAATTCTATGTTCTGCACTCACACCTGCACAACCGAACCGAGCCACAGCTGAAGCTGCCATCACACGACGCTGTTTGTTTACAGGTGGAACAGCAGAGCTAACGCTTTAGTCAAGCGGCAGAACAAACAATTCAGTAGTGAGGCAGATATGAGTCCGTGAGTTTATGAATATAATCAGTACTGTAGCTACCCATTACACACATTACACACAGTGTGTAGGGCACCAAGTGCATGCGGAGGCACCACTCGCAAATCTATGGTGGTCACACCCTGGTCCTCAATTTTGCCAGCATGTAAATCATTTATATGGTTATATCGGTTATATGAGTTTGGAGATACACAAATTGAAATCGCGATCAAAATTCAAATAATTGCACAACCTTACACAATGCTGTCGAGTCCTGTGTGTATCACCGATTAAGAAAATAAAATTGGAGTGAGTACAGAGCAGTGGGCGTGTACCAGTGGAGGTGAAAATAGATACTGGTTGACAATATGGTGTTGTGAAATAAGTGATTAAAGAAACATGCACAAATCACTCCAAATACACTTTGGGTGAGTAAATGGAGAGGGAAAACAACTATAACATGGTTAAAAGCTCTAAAAAGTCGATTTGGTATAATAGGTCTGCTTTAAGAAAACTCCATTATCTTGAAAAAAAAATAAAAATCTGGCTGTTTGCTGGTGTTTCAGTCGGTGAAAACAGGTGATGTTCTCTTCTATGATCCTGTTAGGCTATGAACCATATTCAAGATACTTCCAGCAGTATAAAAACTTAACTTATAATAAAAAATTTTTAAAAAGCTGAAATTGGACACATAACTTTTACAACACCACATTCACTGCTCTCTTAAATCCACATGTGTGTTTTTCATCCCCTCTGGTCAAAACTGTTTACCCCAGTCAACCACGCAGACCCTCCCCTCCCTCCCCTCCCTCCCCTCCACACTCCGGGGAGCACACAGGCAGCTGGCCACAAACTTTTCATTAGCGCGCGCTGCCAGAGAAAGATGGCAAATATTTATCTTTGCACAGATTGTCGAGGAGCTCCTGAATACAAAGCGAGTCCGTCTTTACCGAAGGCCTCACAGCGGGAGACAGTGCGTGGGATGTGGAGGTTCACTAAGTAGCTGCTATGGTAATGTAATAGCAGCAGATGTAAAGGGTCTAGATTAGTTTAATAATTATATGTAAAATAGCAGAGTTCAGATGAGTTGAACACCACTTTCAAACTTTTTTTTTTTTTTTTTTTTTTTTTAGGTAGAGTTTTATTTAAATGGTAAGGATTTACATTTTTATATAGCACTGTTTCACCATCAAGGCACTCAAAGCTTTTTATATCAAGGAACCACTCACCCTTTCACACACATGGAGGGGGGTTAAGTGTCTTGCCCAAGGACACAACAGCAGCATTCATCTATTGGAGCTAGAATTGCACTGCCAACCTGTGGATCAGTGGATTTGACCGCTCAACCAATGATGTTAATGTCGAGAGCGGGGTTCAAACTGCAAACACTTTACCACGCTACTGTCGCTTGTTTGTCGTTTTTTCAGACTATAAGTTGCACTTTTTTTCATTTGGGTGGTCCTGTGACTTATACTCCGGTGCAGCTTATATATTAAAATTTTCACACTGACAGCTGCAAGAGGACGCTCTAGGCTTGTGTGTCAGTAGCTGCTACAACTATTACTCCTGTACTACTGTCACTTGGCTCTACTGCGCATGTCTCCTGCAGAAAGTAGTGAAATCTGCAGCTGAAAACGATAGTTGAGCAGCAGAAAGAAAGTTTGGAGTGAGCGGGAAACTAGCGGAAAGCAGAGACGGAGAACACAGCTTCACGGTAACCGGGAGGGTGCACCATGCAACTGGAAGTCACTAGATGGATGGACAAAGCCTGGACTTCAGTGACAACTGTAACCATCATGTTGGGATTCAGAAAGACCGAAATAATTCTCACTGGAACTGATGCCAAGTCTGACTACAGCTACACAGAAGAGGAAGTGGCGCATTGTCTACCCCCGGAGATCATGGAGTTGCTCAGAAGTGACACTGAGGAAGAAAAATTCCATGGATTTATTGCTTTGGAGTGAGGTCGAAAGTTTTTTAAACTTGTTCTGTCATTTTTGCTATAGTTATCTGAAAAAACTGTTAATATATTACGTTAACATACCAGAAGCCTATTCAGTCTGTTGTTCTCTATTCTATTGTTATTACTATAACTTATCTTTCAAGATGAAATGTTGGTTCCTGGTCGCTAATTTTATAAAATAAATTTCCCCCAAAAAGTGCGACTTATAGTTTGGTGTGATTTCTATATGTTTTTTCTTCTTCATAACACATTTTTTGGCTGGTGCAACTTTTAGTCCGAAAAATACGGTAAATATCTTCAACAAATCTTATAACAAATAGCAATGCAAATGTATGTAATGAACAAAATATTTCGAGGTATCTTGCTCAAACTGGAACTGTAACTCTTTTAAGTGAATTTAGAGTCACAGTTGTAGTACTAAGTTGCCCACTGGACAAGCAAGATGGGGAAAGGAGAGCAGAGGTTTGTAAGAAGGATCCGTTTGGATTTAATTTTGCTCTGATAAGACAATCAGTAGGTGCACAGGAGTCAAAATCAGACTCCTAAAAAGCACAAAATTATAAATGCAAAAAAGAAAGGAAAAACTTACTACATGCAATTAAGCAACAAATTACTCTTTGCCTGCACACATTTCAATCCGAGTGATTTTCCCCTAAGAATATGTATTGTCCTGGTTAAAAAATTTGGTAAAAAGGTGACCATAGAGAACCATCCGAGGAAAAAAAGCACTCGAAAGATCTCCCAAGTTCCAAGTCCTGGTCTATACAATCACCACGGCAGACTAATTGTGGTTGTAATGTCAAAACCAACTTACCGACAGCCTTGCATGCTTTGGAGACAGGGTCCATCTCGTAGCCTTCATAGCACTCACACTTGAAGTCTCCCTTGTAGTTGATGCAGACCTGGCTGCAGGCGTCAGGGTTCTCACACTCATCTATGTCTGTGAGAAAACAAAACAAAAATACAATTAGACAATGTGATAACAGCCAAACTACTCTATAAATAATTGAGAAGTTGTGTTGTGTGAGAATCTAAAATAGTGGTCTTAAAACATTTAGATTGTAATTTGATTTGACGAGAACATGAATATAAAATGAAGAAAATTGTCCAAATTAACAATGAGAATGAAAGTAGACTCAGCTAGTTTGAACGTAGTAGCAGTAGTAGTTTACTTGATTATTTTTGAGCACTACAAACCAAACCAAAACAAAACAAAACCAAACAGACTATAACCCCATGGATCATGACCGAAAGGGTTTAGCCTGAAGTGAAAGTATTTATAATGCCAGACCCTATTAAACAATGACAGAACAAAGAAGAGAGCAGCATATGAACAGCAAGTTTTCATTTACAATTTGTATGAAAAAGAAAACTAAGTTGTGTATAATAATGAAGATTTTCTGTTTGCAATTGATCAGTAATTGTGCCTGAACTAATATGGAATGTTTAGTGACGATCGGTGTTGATGTCTTGTCTTGAAAAAGGAAAGGGGGCAGATAACATAAGATTTTTTCTTCTTTCTGCTCCTTTTCATTCATTTCTTGTGTGTTTGATGTTGTGACACTGTTGATGTCTTTTTATGCTTTATGAATGAAATAAAAAAATAAATAAATAAATAATAATAATAATTTCACTTATGACTTACTGTGTATATAAGACCAAATATTAATGATTTGAAACAAACAAAATTTAATGCATAATTCATCCATTCCAGAGCTCTATATCTTTTAAAACATAATGCTTTATACACTTATATAAAGGCTTCTACACTGTTTGAGTTTTTTTTTTTTTTAATCAGCACTCAGGTTGTTCCATATATTAACCCCTCTAACAAAAATACAATCACTTTTTTTCTTAGTTCTTATCTTCATTTTTAAAAGATGCCTTTTTTCCGTTTATGGTTGTACAAACTAATAATAATGTTAACAAAGGCAGAAAAGTTTATTGTTTATGATTGTACAAAATAAACCACAATGAGAATGAAAAAATTTAAGGATTTTTGTAAGGATAAAGCTTGTACAAATTTAGTCACTACTACCGCAAGTACTAACCTTATTTTAAATGAGCCATTAAGACTCTATACAATAAAAATATTATTAAAAAATATTTTTCCCCAACAAAAAAATATAGTTTTAGTAATTAAGAAATACAATAAATAAATACGGTAACACTTTATAATAACTACACCTTATTTAGCCTTAATAAAGCATGAACAAAGGCTTAATTAATAATGAACAAAGACTTAATTAATAATGATTCACGCTTAGTAACTACATCATTACTACCTTAATTAGCACTTGCACTTCATTTGCCTGTGCTGTAAATAGTTACTCATAATTATTTCATACTTAATTACTCGTGGACTAACCATTTGAGCATTTATTAATCATTAGTAAACTATGAGAGAATGATTTACTAATAATGCAATGCAATGATCATTCAGGCAGCTGTTATCTGTTAGGTAAGTCTTTTTGAGAGCTTTTCTAAAGTGAAGACAACTTATGTTTATTAAGCATTTACTAAGCGTGAATCATTGTTAATTACGTCTTTGTTCATTATTAATTAAGTCTTTATTCATGCTTTATTAAGGCTAAATAAGGTGTAGTTATAAATACATACATAAAATAATTGATTAGGCCTACATTTATTCAGAATGTCATTGATAAAACATATTGCCATGGTCCATCAGTGGTAAATTATCTTTTTACCATGATGTTTTTATTCTTATGTCCACGTCCATTGTCATGACCTGTGAGGTTGCAAGAATTATTTGTTATCACTGACTGCAAAACAGTTGCCCCCTGGGGACTTCATAAAGGGTTGAAGTTGAAGTTGAAGAGGTAACTTCCCTCTCCACTCCAGAACAGACCACACTGCTGTTACCTCCACAGGTCTTCTTGTCCAGGAGCTTGTACCCGGGGGGACAGTCACACTCATATCCGATCTTTCGGTCTCTGCACAGGTGGGAGCAGCCTCCGTTCTGATCCGCACACTCATTCACTCCTGTTAGAAAAGATGGGGACAGTTAGGAGGGGGTTCAACTGAGGAGGACGTGCACTGCGTAACTTTTCTAGTGCAGTATCCGCCACCTGCTTATCTCCATGGGAATGTTATTGCTTTGTCTATAATATTCCACAGTAGGGATGTAACAATAACCAAAATATCATGATATTGTATCGTCAAAAGTCTCACAATAATACCATGGGCTGTCACAATATATCAAATTACAAGTTCCTTTGCTTAAATGCCTGGTTTTATAGAAGCAACAACTTATAAACATTGGAAACTACATATCCCATGATTCATTTCAGTGCAGACAACTTGAAAAAATATGTTTTTTACTTGAATTCTTGGGATTAAGACAAAAATAATTCACACCAAAATCTTGTCAGGGTATTTTAAAACCAGAAATGTGTCCTATCTACAATTACATCAGCCTCTTCAAAATATCGCAATAAATATCGTACAGTGAGATGCAAATCGTGATAATATATTTTTGAGATTCGGATATGGTTGCATAACTATCCCACAGTATAAATTAAACATATTTATCACAAGGGTCACTAGTAGGTTACAGCTCTACGTTACATTGCATTTCAGATCTGCGGAGAGTTGCTCTTATTCACAGAAGGAATTATTGTATTTTTGAACAACACCTTTATAGTTTCTTCTTCTGCATGCATTGCTATAGTCATTTCTTTATATATTTGTTTAAATGATTTTATATTTGGCCATTGATTCCACATCTGATTCCGCTTTTGTTTACACTCGCAATATTATTTGGTGTATTTCTGGTCCAGCTCTCACTCAGAAAAAATTCACATTCAGTTTAGTTCTGGTTTATATATCCATAGTCCCATTTATTTTGGGTTTAGTCCACATGGTGGTTTGATTTTTCCAGTATTTATATCTATTTTATTTCTTGATCCTGGTTCAGACTCGTTTCTCTCAGTCGAAATTACTTATTACATTCAAAAGTTTTCAGAAACACTTGTAGTGTAGCTGAGACCATTTGTATTTGATCAGTACAATTCACGAGGCTCCATTGAATCTATTGTTACCGCGTTGTACTACTTTACCTCTCCACCTCCCTTACTCCATTCTCTCTGTTCACTCCATTCTGTCTATCCCGGTGCAACACTTGGCTCTCTTGTCAGTTTTCCTCCCCTCTCCACTCCCTCCCTTTTTGTATCCGTTTCTCATCCTCCATTTATCCTTTTGTCTTTCAGAAGAGGCTCCAGGGAGAGGAGTGTGAGTGAACTAGCTCCTTCATTACGTTTACATAAAAGATTTAGGCTCGGAGGCTGCAGGTAGGTACCACAGCTGCTCTGGTGAGGGAGACCAGCTGTAAAAATAGACTAAAGGAGAGGGAGATTTTGGTAAAAGCACTGAACACCTGTAAATAGACTCAGAGGGTTATGAAATATGTATTACATCGATGTGCTGTTGCAAAATTGATGTGTAGGTCTGTAGAGGACAACTCAGAGGGCCCATTTAGACAGCGGCTGGTTCATTTAGAGCAGACGTTCGCATAGCATTAGTGGTTAAAAGACCTCAACTCAAACCCACATCTTATAGGGACATTAAAGATATTCAGCTTTCATAGTAATAACATAGTATTAACTTTATGATAGAGTGAATATTGTGTTTTTTAAAGTGCACTATAGAACTTTTTTGGTGCACGGTTCACCGCCTTCTTGTCTTCCATGTCATTATTTTGAGCTGTGAGCTTCAAGATAGATTTCAAAGTTCTTTTATTGGTTTATAAAGCTCTTAATGGTCTTAGTCCTATTTATTTATCTGATCTGCTTTTATCGTCTGAGCCTCTCGGACTCTCACGTCCTCAGGTAGTCATCTTTTAACTGTCCCAAGAGTCGAGTCAAGATGAGGCGTCATTCAGTTTTTACGGCCCCCGTCTGCGGAACAGTCGACCTGAGGATTTGAGGTCCGCTGCGAGTGTTAATATTTTACTACATACTATAACCTTTAGGAGCTTTATGTTTTATGTTTCTGTTTAAATTGCTGTATATATGGATAAACAATAGGATGGGGGCGAGGTTGTTGCTGTTGGTTTTAATCATTGTCGTTTTTCAGTTGCATGTGAAGCCCTTTGTGCTACATTTCAAATGTATAAAAAGTGCTTTTCAAATAAAGTTCCATTGATTGACTGATTGACTGATTGTTTTGCCTGCATTGTTCAACAGTATGGCATTATGGGTCTTCAACTAGAGAAGCTGAACTAAGTTACAGGTTTAATCCACGAAGAGACAACCCTGCTCACAGTAAGAATGTTTTTACGTTATAGGTATTTCTGTAGCAATCAAAAATAGAAAAGTTACATCGTGCACCTTGAGTTGATTCATAAAATTGTATGGAAACAGAACACATTTTTTGATTTGAGGAAATAAATGTGTAGAATTTTTTTCTGTTGATGTACACTACTGGTCAAAGGTTTTAGAACACCTCACTTTTTCCAGTTTTTTATTGTTTATGGTTTACTGTTGACCAAAATGTATTATAAACTTTTCACCTTTGGCAGATATAACAGCTGAACACACTTGTGGCTCATTCTTTTTTACAAGAGAAATCAAATATTCCTCACAAAGTTCTTCCCAAGTCTGCTGCATAAATGTGTGGCCCTTGTAGGTTGCTCGGCTTTCACTCTTCTGTCCAGTTCATCCCAAACCAGCTCGATGGAGTTTAAGTCTGGAGACTGTGCTGGACACTCCATGTTTTCAAGTTTACATCTTGTTCTTTTTTCCAGAGGTAGTTTTGGCAGAGCTTGGACTTGTGTTTTGTTATCTTTTATCTTTTTTCTAACCTCTGTCTGTTCAGTATTTACATTTGTACCATTTCAAGCTCTTCATTGTACTTGCACGACTTGTATAAACTGCAATAAATAACTGGAAATATTATGGTGTTCTAAAACTTTTGACCGGTAGTGTATTTTGGGCTGAACACATTTCAAGAAATGAATGTGTGAAGCTCTCATTTATATTTTGAGTGAGGATCTTAAAATGTAATAAATGACAGTTCAGTAGAGATTGTCAGTTTCATGGCTGAACTTATTCAAATGATTCTAGTGTTTAAAAAAAACTGTGGAGCACTTCCTGTGATATGTTTTGTTTGCAAGAAAAAACTCAGCCTAAATATGTAGGGTTTGTGTGTTAAATGTGTGAATAAAACAGAACACGGCTTTGTTATTGATGAGACAACATTATAACATAGATCAGAAAATAGCGTAATATGGACCCTTTAATGAAGCAATCCATAGTGCTCAATTATTGACGCAAAACAAAACAAAAATAAATTCTTATATTAAATGTATGTATCCAGCTCTCCTCTTGTTACTCTATCATGTCTTCTTCTACTCTGACCTTGGTTAGAGGTGAGCGCAGCCCTATTCTAATGATAACTGTCATTCAAACCGTATGAAGACGTGAGATTTCCAATGATCACGTATATGACTAATAATATGCTTGGTCTGCCATATCATTACGGTGTACTTCAAAGTGCGTACATCAGAGCTATCTTAAAGGGCATCACTCTCCCATATCATTTCGTATGCCCTCATCAAACCCCAGAAGCTCAAAAGAAATCAGTTATAGACTTTAAGGTACACTAGGCTATATTTATTTCTATACCTCGCCACTTTGCTGTTGGGCGCAAGATCCGTGACTGAAGCTAGCTAAGTGGTAATTATCTAGTGTGTGTGTTATCTAATGCATAGGAGTCTTACGGGGTTGTAGTCCGGTCACGTCGCCAGGCCTAAGATGGCACCAGAGGGGAGAGATGCATCTTTGATCCTAACAAGGCAGTTGAATAATGTCCTGATTTAGCCTGGTTTGATCAAATGAAGCTGTGTATGCTCAGAAGAGGCCACACACACTTAAAGGGCCCATATCACGCTATTTTCCGATCTGTTATAGAGTTTCCTACGGAAGCCGAGAGGGGTCACAACAAACGCAAACGCCGCAACAAATACAAATGCGACAACACAACAAAAAGCCACAACGGAAATGACCGCGGGACTCTATTTTAATGCAAACGCCGCAACAAATACAAACACCAGAACACAAACGCAAATGTCGCAACATATTAAAAAGCCACAACACATTAAAAAGCCACAACACAGCCACACAGAAGTGACTGCGGGACTCCATTTTCCAACGGACCGATCAAGTGGCAAGTGAAGAAGAAGAACTACAACGTGAAAAGTAAAGCAACGGAGAAGTTGGAAACGTAAGTAAAAGTTATTTATTGTTTTATCATTATTAGTTTCACGTTGTAGTTCTTCTTCTTCACTTGTCGCTAGATCGGTCCGTCGGAAAATCGAGTCCCGCGGTCACTTCCGTTGTGGCTTTTTGATGTGTTGTGGCTTTTTAATGTGTTGCGGCATTTGCATTTGTGTTGTAGCATTTGTATTTGTTGTGGCGTTTGCATTAAAATCGAGTCCCGCGGTCATTTCCATTGTGGCTTTTTTTGGTGTGTTGTGGCTTCTTCTTGTGTTGTCGCATTTGTATTTGTTGCGGCGTTTGTGTTTGTTGTGACCCCTCTCGGCTTCCGTAGTTTCCTGATCACAAACATACCTAGAGTTGTGTTTTGTTTTATTCACACATGTTTAACGCACAAATCATGCATATTTAAGCTGAGTTCTCCTCTCAAACAGAAAACACTCTATTCCACCTTGTGAAGTACTTGACTGTGTTTTCAAACTCCATACACCTTTTCAAGAATCATGGAATTGCCAGTCTCTACTAAACAAAAGGTAAAAAGTAGCTGTTCATTTGAAAACTACCACTTCATGACATCACACTTTGGAGACGACACTGTGCAATTATCATTATAGTAGAAGCGTAGAAGAGGGAAATCTACATATATATATTGGTAACATGCATAACTTTGTGCATGTTAACAGCAATGGGCCTCATTCATGAATCATTTCTTAAAAAATGTTCATAACTTCCACTTTAAGAAAATGCTGAAAGAACTCTGCGCCAGATTTAAGAAGCGTTCTTAAGCAGCCAAATTCCTTAAGTGACAGTTGCGGCTAATTCACCAACATCCAGCTACAACCACCTTCAAACTCATTTACATTTCATTTACATAAAAAAATAATATGCATTTAGTTAGAAATGCCCTCTCCAAATATGGCTAATATGGGTTTGGCATTATGGCAAGTGAAAGTGCGAGGAACTCAGGTGGAACTCCCTTAAACAAAGTGAGGGAATATTTAAGTCATAAACATTATCTTGTCGCACTTTCCACGATTGTGGATTCCCAGTAAATAGAGAAGGAGGGGGGCTCGGGTGGGTGTGCATAAGAGTGTGCTCTGATCATGGCAGGGCTGTAACAGTGGCCCATATGGAGAGCACTGGGGCTGGGACAGAGTCTTACTGCAGCCTGTATGAAGTCTGTTAGACCCAATAGACACAGGCTCTCTAAAACTCCTCAGAAATGTTTTTGGATCACAAAGTAATATAAATATATATGTATACAGTCATGGAGGAATTAGAATTTTTAGTTGCATTATCAGAATAATAATATTCTAAAACAGTTGAATGTTTGTTCTTACGAGTGCTTCTCGTTTCAGTTAAGAAAAAGTTTTGTGAATACAAAAAGTGTTCGTAAAAAGGCCTTAAGAACAAATTTGTTGGTGAGAATGTTTCATGAATGAGGCCCAGTAACATTTCATAAGATTATTGTTCCACAGTATTGCATTAAAGTTTTTTTTTTTTTTTATCTCCAAGGTGACAAGCAGATACTGTCACTAGACCAAGTTACGAGTCAGAACTGTGGAGCGGCAACCCCAATGCACATGATAATGCGATGTACAAGCTGACCAGTAAAGAGAAATGTAGTATTAAATGATACCAGAAAAAACCTGTCTTCATTATATTTTTGTAAATATATTTTATGCAATAAGATCAAACAAAAATAAGAATAGTTAGTATAGAGTAATGCACAGAGCAGACTCACCGCACTCCTTCATGGGCTCATCAGACCAGTCTTTACAGTCCTTCACATTGTCACACACTTTGCTGCTGTCGATGCATTCTCCGTTCTTACAGCGGAACTTCTTTGGGCCGTCACACTTCGTCACTGTGGAAAACAACAGCACAGTGTAAATATCCACACTTAGAAAACGAGCAAGAAAGTCCAAAGCGGAGCAGTGGTATCTATCAATTACTGACAGCCTGAGTTCAGATGATTTGTGGCTGGGTAAGGGTAGATTGGAACTATTTTTTATGTGAGGTTAAACCCTGTTGGGACATAAACATCCATCCACATATTTTGGTCCATTTAAGTGCATTGTGTAACTTTTTGTGGTGGAGGGTCGGTCACCTGTTTACACCTTTACTGAATGATTAAACATAAAAAACTTTAACTTTATTCATGATTTGTTAATGCCACCATGCACACAGCAGCAGTAAGCACCAGATTATATAAAGGTTAATAATGAATGTACCTCGGTTTAAATGATCCATCAAACTCCCTGAACATTGCACAGTTTCGAAACTATTATAAACGTATTTTGAATGAAAATATTATCTGTGTGTAAAATAATGTATATCTAAGCATTCGTAAGCTGCTCTGTTATTGCAAACTGCAGCTTCACTTTCTGATTGGCAGAATACAATATATTTTTGTTGCTTGTACCCATTATTCTTTCTATTATGTGGCCCATTTTGCTTGCAGCTATAAAGTATAGCTAAACTTTATTATGTTTTGAGCCTGTGCTTATGCCTGCATCTCTGAAATGGCTTGGAACTAAAATAATACCCCGAGGAGTTAGTGTGGATAAGAACTTTGCACCACCTCACTTAAAAAGATACTATTTAAATATGCAACTTTGTGTAATATCAGTGCTCTGCTTTAGAATATGTGGAGTAAATAAGGCTTGTGTGTATGTATGGCTTAACTCATGCTCGATTGCGCTCATAGGCACCAAAGAGGATTTAAGGGAAACATGGAGGAGTATCCTGACAATATCCGGTACACTTTTCTTTTTTTTAGCTTTTTCCTGAAGCGCAAATATTTGTTTAAACAGACTTTCTCAGAGGGGTGGAAGAAAAGAGCTACTGCAGCCAATAACTGCCATCTGTGCTGCTTGACTTGGAAACCTATAAGTTGTAATAAGAAATATTCTGCACTCAAATGAAAGTATCTAAAGAGTGTCACTGGAGAATAGGGATGCATCGATAAGATACTGGTATAGAATATCAGCACAGATGGCGGAAAATTTGGTGGATTGAGTGTTTGGTTCCATGACATTGCTTCAGTCTTTATCTGGTTGTGCCTTTAGTTTGAAGTAAAGAGATTTAAACAGGGCTCTGTGTGTGAGATATGACAAAAAATATATATATACTGTATTTTTCTAACTATAAATCGCACTTTTTTTTTCATGGTTTGTGTGGTCCTGCGACATATACTGTGGTGGGGCTTATATATTTGTTTGTCCTAATAAATCTCACAATTTGCAAGTAAGATGGTGCGCTGGATTTTTCTCTATGTTTTTGGGCTGCTCCCTCTCCTCCAACGTACCCATCTCAAGTAAATAGATGTGCGAAGTTCTCATTCTTTTATATCAGGGGCTTATATATTAAAATTTTCACAATGACAGCCTCGAGTGGGCGCTCTAGACTTGTGTGTCTTTATCTGCTACTATTATTACTCCTGTACCACTGTCACTTCACTCTCTACTGCACATGTCTCCTGCAGAAAGAGCCACTGTCTTGTCTGTGTCATGTCAGTCGATCGCACCATTACTTCTGTACCACTGAAAATTAAACATTTGAACAAACTTATAAAGACAACTGAAACCATCCTGTCAGGATTCAGAAAGGCTGGAATAATTCTAACGATGAACATTTCAACAGGTTTAGTGATTTGGAGTGAGATGGAGAGTTTGGTAAACTTGCTCTGTTCTGTTGTTTATGCTATATTTATCTGAAGAACTCTTAATATGTTACGTTAACAGGCTGTTGTTCTCTGTTCCGTTGTTATTATTGTAACTTGCCTTTCAAGATGAAATATCAGTTCCAGGTCTCTGATTTTATAAAATAAATTTCCCCCAAAAAGTGCAACTTATAGTCCGGTGTGACTTACAAATGTTTTTTTTCGTCTTCATTACACATTTTTTGGCTGATGCCACTTAGACTTCAAAGCGACTTATAGACTGAAAAATATGGTAGTACAACATTAAATTCCTGAGCATAAATGATACAGACTCTGAACTCTGCTCAAAGCCACATACTATTTACGGAGAGAAAATTGGGTGTAGACCTCCTGATTGAAAACTCCAGAACTCATCAGTGCAGATTAAAAATGACTCAAACCTCGTTATATTTAAAATATGTGCTTGAGGTGTAATGTAAAAGTACCATTGACACAGCCGGCCTCGTCGCTGTAGTCTGGACAGTCGTGCACTTTGTTGCACTGTTTGGTGCCGTGGATACAGGAACCATCACCGCACTGAAACTCATCTGGTCTGCAAGTCAACAGGGCTGCAGAGACAGAAAAACACAGGGCAGTTAGATCAATACTTTTATATGAAAGGTTTTCACATCCAAAACACTAATTCTCACCATGTTTTATAGGAATTGAAAGTACAGACATTGGTGTTACTGAGGAAGCCTTTCTGAGGTGTCAGGGTTGAAGGCTCCTATTGTGTGGTGTTTTCGTATTACCCAACCCACTTCAACAGAAATAAAATGTTTTGTAGCATCAATAGGGCTGTTTTTCTCAGTTTGTGTCCACTTTCACAGCCACAGAAATCATGGCAGACATAAAGCTGCTCTCCTCACAGCACGAGTTAGCTTTAAGTTGTCAGCTGTCCCTTTTGCCTTTTATTCTACACAAAGCAGAATGGAAATGTTTTGAATTGGAAAAAAAGGAAAATAAAAATCAATATTTCATAGCGTTTGTACCAAGCATCACTAAACAAATGCTACACTGACCTTTTGAAATGTGTAATAACATCATATTTCATGGTTATCTCACAGTAAGGATGTCATATCATATGCCACATTCACAATCGATTCATTTTCTTTACTGGAACAAATCTAAGAAACATTGGAATTAAAAACACTCAAAATCAGATTCATTTAATAATAATGTAACAATTGTGTGGCGTTGACAAGCTGATAACAAATAAGGTAAGACAAAGGAGAAATTCAGTTTGTCAATTATTTCGGTCGAAAACGTTTTGCAGCTCATCCAATCTGCTTCTTCAGTTCTGGTTAGAATGCTGGTGGACACTGCCTTACATCTGTCTGCAGGGAGGACCAGAGGTGTGAAAGCGTCGATTATGGGCCTGAATGATTATGCGAACATGACCCCACACTCAGCGCAGATCAATAGGCCTAGATAACATGCAGAAACAGTAAACAAGTAGATGTGTTAGTTTCAGAGTAGTTTCAGGGTAGTTGGCTCCTCCCTGTAGGCAGATATAAGGTAGTGTCCACCAGCATTTTGACCAGAACTGAAGAAGCAGCTTGGATGAGCTGCAAAACATTTTAAACCAAAGTAAACTTTTGTCCAGTTGACAAATTGAACTTCCCCTTTGCCATGGATTCTTCCAGCTGACTCATTATAAACCAATCTGTGTATCACTCGTTCATTCGTTTTTCAATATAAAACCAAAAATAAGAAAACGAAAAAACAACTGTTTTCTTCATTATTTGTCTCTGAAACAAAATGAAAAAATGGACAACAATTTGTTTTTTCAGTTTTCAATTTTGTGTTGAAATGAACTTGACTTAAACTGTGATGCTGGACATTACCACCGCATACGGACTAAACCAGGACTGAAGCAGGACTGAAGCAGGACTGAAGCAGGACTAAAGCAGGACTGAAGCAGGACTGGACTGAAGCAGGACTGAAGCAGGACTAAAACAGGACTAAACCGTTTTCAGTCCCGGTCTCGGTCCTGGTCTCGGTCTCAGTCCCGGTCCCGGTCTCGGTCCCGGTCCCGATCCCAGTCCCTGGTCTCAGTCCTGGTCTCAGTCCCGGTCTCAGTCCCGGTCTCAGTCCCGGACCTAGTTCAGTCCTGATTGAGTCCGTATGTGGCGTATGTAAACGGGAAACGGCCGTTATTTAAACGCTTTTTCCATGATTCATTTAAACACAAAATCGAAAACTGAAAAAATGAATCGTTATCCGTTTTTTCATTTAGTTTTTGGAGACAAATAACAAGGAAAATAGTTGTTTTATGTTTCTCTTTTTTGGCTCTATATTGAAAAACGAATGGACGAATGATACACGGATTTAAACTAATTGCAATTTTAAAGTTTTTATATTCATTTAATAATATTCATTCCTTGTTTCTAAATAATTTGCCAGAGGAGAAAGAAAATTGCATTTAAAATCTTACACTGGCTGTTAATTAAGCGTGAAATTTAATGAGGGTAAAAAAGCAAAAACAAAACACAAAACTGAAACGTGTGAAAACTGAAAACAAAATGCATTTCTGAATTCATTTAGAGGTGCGTGCTGTAGTATTTCTGGTAAACCATACGCCACTTGCCTTTCTACTTAGAGGTCTTACTGGTTTGCCTGGAATGTTCCACAGTATGGCATTAAATGTATCTAGAATTTTCTTCAGGACAGATCTGACCTGTAACTTTGCCTTGTGGCTTTACTTTCTTTTTTCCACAAAGCTAGACAGGTTTAACGCCATACTGTGAAACATTCCTGGTAAACCAATAAAATCTCCATGGAGACAAATCTGTAATAAGCTTGCTTCTTGCTCCCCATTTCCTTCTATGGCCAATTTGATTCCAATTGAGTCCTGCAGTCGTAATCGTTCACAGGCAACCTTTACGTCTGTGGAAAAGCCCTGTGAGAAAACCCCTGTAGTCTGACCTATGGGGCTTCTACGTTTTACTGTTGTGGACTGGCATTTGGGCGTGCGAGGTCTAACGGTGCACAGGAGCTTTATTTAGCTCATTTGTCTTTTAAAGCACTTGTTTAATTATTCATGTGTTGTGTTTGAGATTGTGTCCACCAGGGAATGGAGGCAGACATGATCAATGGATGTTTGCTACAGAGAAACACAAGGAAAGCAGTGTGGTCTGGGAGGAAATATGAGAGGACGTTACAAGAGAAAGAATTCATTTTTAACTGGTAAAAACCTACTTGAGAGCTTGGACCCCCCGTCGAGGCATTTTCCCTATTCAACAGTGATGAAAAGTAACTAAAAACTGGACTTTATTTAAAGGTTCTATACGCAAAATTGATTCATCTCCAAAGCTCAAAATGATCTGCTACCATTTACCTTTTTTTTTCAGTAGAGATTGGCATTTCCAAGGCTGAAATTATGTACATGATTCTAGTGAAGGTGTATGGAGTTTAAGAACTCAGCCGAACACTTCCTGTATTACCACATGACATCACAAGGTGGAAAGAGTGTTTTCTATTTGAAAGACAACCTCAGCCTAAATATTCAGGGTTTTTTGTGAATGCAATAAAACACAACTCCAGGTATGAGCCCTTTAATACAATTGTTAATGGTAGCAGAAGTACTCTAAAAAGTAAAGAGTACTACTATAACTACTGATACTTGTACTGATACTTATGGCCAACTACAACTACAACAACTACAACTATTACAACTACTACTACTACTACTACTACTAGTAACTTTATGACCACTAATACTTGTGCTGATACTGATACTTATGGTTAACTACAAGTACAACTACTACTACAACAACTTCAACAATTACAACAACAACAACAACAACTACTACTACTACTACTACTACTACTACTACTACTACTACTACTACTACTACTACGACTACTACTACTACTACTACTACAACTACTGATACTTGAGCTGACACTGATTCTTATGGTTAACTACAACTATAACTACTACTACAACTATTACTACAGCAACTACAACGACTACAACAACTACTACTACTACTACTATTACTAGTACTACTATGACTACTAATACTTGTGCTGATACTGATACTTATGGTTAACTACAAGTACAACTACTACTACAACAACTTTCAACAATTACAACAACAACAACAACTACTACTACTACTACTACTACTACTACTACTACTACTACTACTATGACTACTGATACTTGTGCTGACACTGATAGTTATGGTTAACCACAACTATAACTACTACTACAACTATTACTACAGCAACTACAATGACTACAACAACTACTGCTACTACTACAACTACAACTGCTATGACTACATCTACTACAACAACTACTACACCTACTACTACTACTATTACTAGTACTACTATGACTACTAATACTTGTGCTGATACTGATACTTATGGTTAACTACAACTACAACAACTTCAACGACTACAACAACTACTACTACTACTACGACTACAACTACAACTACAACTACGATTACTGATACTTGTGCTGACACTGATACTTATGGTTAACTAAAACTATAACTACTACTACAGCAACTACAACGACTACAACAACTATTGCTACTGCTACTACTACAACTACTATGACTACAACTACTACAACAACTACTACACCTACTACTCTTACTATTACAACTACTAGTACTACTATGACTACTAATACTTGTGCTGATACTGATATTTATGGTTAACTACAACAATTACTACTACAACTATAACTACAACGACTACAACGACGACTACTACTACTACTACTACTACGAACAAGCAAGTTACAGGTCAGATCTGTGCAGAGATGACACTTCTAACAGTAAGAAAGTGTGTTTTCAAGGTATAAAGTTTAAGTAATAAATATGGCTACTCCTGCTACTATTACTACTATTACTACTACTACTTTCTAATTCAAATTTCCTCCACTATTTTATTTATCACTGAAAATGATTAGCAAAAAACACTTTTCATATTTTCATGTAAAAAAAAGTGAAATCTAAATTTAAATATCAAATGAAATGAATTCCACGCTCTGATATAAATTACGAGCGCCTCTCTGGAGATAACAAGGGAATGACAAATAAAGGTATGCGAAGAGCGAACTCTAATGACATAATCGTATGGCACTCCTGTACAGTACATCTGAGCCTGTGTAATTGTGACAAATCCTGGGGAGGGCTGGTAATAACAGATTGTCATTTGCAGAGTTGTGGAACAGTGGTTTGATATAATGTGGCCATTTCTCATTCACATTAACCTGCTGTCTGCGTCGCACTGCTGCTTGTGACCATTATGGAGACAGATGTTTGGAGGATATGGAAGAACACACGAGGAGAGCATGTCTGTGGAACCAGCTAACCCTGACTGTGTGTGAGTAGAGAAGATGGATCAATTAATAAGGTTTGGTTACCTGCAGAGGCGCCATTTTGAGGACATTTCACCATTCCAGAGATATAATATTTAGTTTTGTTCATTTGTATAGTGATGGAAGGATATGGAAGAAAACATGAGCTATCTTCTATACTGTGTAGAAGAACAGAAGTTAGAGCTAATACCGTATTTTCCGGGCTATAGGGGGCGCTCTTAA